TTCTTGATTTTCTAAAAATTTATCCATATCCCATTCTAATCCTGCTAATTGTTCTGATGAATATTCTTTTGGTTTAACCATGTTAATTCCTTTACTACTCATTAAGTTTACTACTTTATCTATATAAATTTTATATTTTGTCTGGGAGTTATTTGAACATCTTCCTAAAAATCCTATACTAATTAATAGGTTATCTCCACTTTCTACTTCTTCATATCCTTTTGTTTGAATTCCTATTTTAATTTTATCTGAAAAGTCTTTAATGGTTAATAAAAAATCTGGATTACAATAAATTATTCCATTATTATTATTCATATCTACTTCTATACTTGCAATCATACTTTTATCTATATTATTAATTCTTTCATCATATATAGTAATTAAAACTTTACATCCTAAGTTTTTTCTCATTAATCCTTTTATTCCTATAACTATTAATCATAAATGCATAAATCTAAAATTTTTCTTTTTTAATTCTCTCTTAGAATCTTCTGATATTAAGTTTAATTTTCTTACCTGGTTTCCTATACATTGAACAGATACTTCTCTACTATGTCTGAAAAATTGTGTTCTCGTTTCAACGATTCCTCTGTTATATAATATTTCTGGATTAAGGATTCTTAAACCATTAGTTTGAAATCTTTGGTAGTCTTGTTGAGGATCTATGATTTCTTCTATATTTTGATTATATTGTACTGGTCTGTTTAAAACTCTTTCTATTATATTTCTGCTTATACTTGAAGTACTATGTCTAGATGTAGATGGTTCTTCATTTATTGTTCTAGACCTTTCTAAGAAAGAATTGGTATTCATCTTGGAAATTTATATTCTTTAGGCAATTTTCTAGTTACCTTTTCTTTTCCTGTATCTCTGAAACTTAATTTCTCTAATGTAGTTGTTAATGATTTTAAATCTTTTTCTACACTTGATGTGGCTCCTATTTCTATTTCTTTAGATTTATTAGAATCTAAAATTCTTTTTATTTCTGTTAAATCTACTTTAGATGGTATTTTTTCTAATTTAACAAGTTTTTCTAAAATACTTAAATTTTGATTTTTAATATAATCTAAAGATTCTTTTATATTCTTAATTTCTTGGTATCTAGCTGTAATGTTTTCTTTTATAATTTCTAAGTAACTATTTTGCTTTTTATTTTCTAATTCTAAATTTCTTGATAAATTTATAATTAAGTCTATTATACAATTCTGACTTGGATCTTCAGAAAATAAACTATGTAATTTATGTTTATTATCTAAATTACACTTAATTATATTATTATCAACTGTTTGTACTTTTTTCATAATATTTCTTAAATCTAAATCTAAGTATTCAAGCTTTCTATTAATATCCAGAGCTCTAAGTCTTAATAAAAATATTTTTAAAAGTCTAATCTGAATAATAAAAAGAATCTAATGAAAAGTTTGTATTATCTGATAAATAATTATTATATATATTATCTAATTCAATCCTTATTTCTAGATCTGATATAAATATCTGGTCAAAACTATTTATAAAATATTCTTCCCTAAATTCTGTAATTAAAGATCTATATAAAATCTGTTCTTTTAATTCTGGATGTAAATCTTTAGTTACTTGTAAGATAGCAAATAAATAGTCTATAGATTTATATTTTTCAAAAGAAATTAATTCTATACCGTATTCAAAAATCTCTTCTATTTCTTTATAAAATGTAAAACTATAGAATATTTTTTCTAAATCTACAAGTAAAATTCTAAAAATCATAAAACAAATAAGAATTTTCTAAAGATTCTAAGAATTGTACTTTTTTCTATCCCGATCACTACTTCCTTTTGAAACCTTTCTCAGAAAAATTCTCAATCCAAAAAATCATTGTATAGCTGAATCATCCTTGTGAATATTTAAGGTACTCTTATATTTCTTTAAGTTTATTTTAGAACTTTAGGGACTTCCCGAAAGGAAAATCCTTAGTTGTAAATCTTTTTAAAGATGAATTTATAAATCCCTAATTTATGTTTTACTAGTTTATGTTCATATTGTTGCATTTATGTTTTAAGTAAATATCTTTTATGTTTCTTATTTCATCCTATGCATATAATAAAAGCATAACTTGATTTCGAGAAGTCATACTGTTTTTAGGTTAATCCTGAGTGACCCAGATGAATGAAAACTTTTGACCGGAGTGAGCCTTTTTGATGTTTTCTAGAGATGTTGGGGAAAGGGAAAAAATTAATCTAAAAATTTTATAAGGGAGTGCCACGGGTAACCTTATAAAAAGGAATCAGGTTCAAGTTTATATGTCATAGGTGGTGAAAATTTAAATGAAAAAAAAAAAATATATATATATATATAGCCAAGATTACACACAGAAAATCGAGAGAGAGAGAGAGAGAACACGTGCAGCTAAGGAGGCAAATACAGTGGAGGTTGGAGCAAAATTGGAGATTATTTATGCCAATTCCCAATGATGAATTTCTTGATAATTTCTTATTTTTCTTTCATTAATATGTGTAGTTAAATTTAATTTTAGGGCAAATAATGTAATCTATTTGGAATCTTTATTTATTTTATTTGAGATTCTTGTTCTTTTATATTTTATGTGTGGATTTTAATTATGTTTTCAATGCTTTGAATTTTTTGGCCAATTAATCAATGATTTCCTGAACAATAATTATGTAGAAATGCGAATTCTTGTTTAGACCACATATTAAAATTCGATAAATTAATATAACATATAGAGATATTAATTGTTGCGGTCCTATAGGAATTCTTAAAACTGTTATTTCGTTTAAATAATGTTGATTCGCATAGAGATATGGAATTGAATTATTTAAATATTTAAATATACTCAATGAGAAATCGAGAGGAGTAAATTGTATACCATAGAAGAGTTCAACCAAACACTACTTTAGATTTTATGAATCTCGATATTAGAAGTAAAGCTGACCAATAGGTGAATTTGTTCCGCCCTAATATCCATTCATTACTTGAATTATCATTCATTTTCTGTTGTATTCACGAAATTTTTAGTAGTTAGATTTAAAAATCACATTCAATCTTTTTTTGTTTATTTTCATCAAATAAAAATTAGGAATAATATATTAAGTACTAAAGTGTAGTCCTCGTGGGAACGATAATCCGGATTCAAAAGGTTCACATTACTACTTGTTACGATCCGTCCACTTGCAGAATAAAATTGACAACATCTGTGACCAATTAATTTGATCTCGAAATAATTTGTAATCTATTAATTTGTTATTTGTGACTTCGAAATAAACTGTGACTTATAAAAATTTTAATTTGTGACCTTGAAATAATTTTTGACATATAAAATTTTTGATTTTTAACATTAAAATAATCTGTGACTAATTAATTTGATGATATATGACCTATAATTGTGTACATGTGATAATTAATTCTATATCTGTGACTTTATTATATTTAATTAATAAGTTTTTATAATTAATTAAATATATACATGAATTTTGAATTTTCAAACTATTTATCTGATTTTTTATTGGTGTAAATAATACATCTGACATACGAATTTTTTCCCGAGTCTTTTCGTGACTAAACCTAAAATTGTTGGGCAGGCCAGGGCAATGTTATCACGTCTGTGGTCCACGTGGACCGGCCTGTACTAGCCTTTTAAAAGAGAGCCCACAACAGCCCACTGTTTAAATGATGCAACCTAACATAGTATTTGAAGAGCCTTGCAACCTTGATAGGGCTGGTGACAAGAGGACTCAGATCAAGGGTTGAGGTGGCCTCCTGTTACCAGGGCCTGTCCCCAGCCTTGCCACAATAGATTAAACCGTATTTGAAATCTAAGTCGATGAATCTATACGAGGTTTGAAAGTTGAAACATTTGATTTAGATTAAAAAAAAAAAAAATATTTTTTAGTAAATTTTGTTAAAATTAGTTAAATATATGGTTGAAGGGTTGTAGAGTCTCATAAAATGTTAGTTAAAATTAATTGTTGATTTCAACTTAAATTTTAATACAATTTTTTAGCTGAAAGTCTTTGTTTGGTTTTATAGTTTTTTAGTAGATTTTGATGAAATTAAATAATATTATAATTCAAAAGTTGTGGATCTTATAAAATATATAATTGAAATTTAATTTGAGGAAAAATAAGTTTTAAGAAGTGAGGAGAAAATAGAGAGCAAGGACAAAAAAAATTGTCATATTTATATAGCTAGACCAATCTCTCGTTAGAGTGATGATTGTGAAGACTCCAAAAATTTGAATGTGATCAACGTAATAAGCCAAAAACATCCGTACTTAACAAAACAGAAAAAATTAAAATTCAACAACAACTAGAGCGTCTCGGGTTTATTACATGAACATAAGGAAGCTTATGGAAAAAGTCAAACGATCCGTGCCGTTGACACTCTGGGTGACCACACCCTTACATGGCCGACGTGGATCCCCATGAATAAAACAATCCTAACCCCCATGTGTGTATTATGTCAATCATGCCGTCACCCGCGTGGGCTATGTTGCTCGGTCGTAACTTAATTATCTAAAAGGGATCTCATGTTCTGAACAAAACCATCCATATAAGAATCCTCGAGGCGTTCGCTTGACAAGAAATCCCTCCATTTATCATGGTTTCTTTTCACCACCTTCCCGATTTCACTGTCAACTTCCATCACTGCCCTTATGGCTTCGTGCACGCCCTCCTTCGTAAACAAACCATCGTCGTCTCCTTTCTCGATTTCAACTCCAACTTTTAGATCAGCACTCAGTAATCTGGCATGAACGTATTGGTCGGCTACATGGGGCAGTAACACCAATTGACACTCACTCATCAAACCTTCCCAAACAGAACCATATCCGCAATGTGTAACGAAGCACCCCACGGAAGGGTGTTTTAAGATCAGTTGTTGTTGAACCCAACATCCAAGAACTAACCCTCTTTCTTGAGTTCTCTCTTTGAATCCCACAGGTAAGGCTTCTTCAACTGCCTCTGCCTCAGAAGGTGGCTTCAGTGCAGCAAAAAAGGGATGACCAGTGAGTTCAAAACCCTTCAATAATTCTTGAAATTGATTCATAGGAAGTATGGCTTCACTGCCAAATGCACAGTAAATCACGCTTTTGGGTCTAAATTTCTCGAGCCATTTCGTCCACTTCTCCTCCAGGGAAGAAGATGGTTGTTTTGGAATAACTGGCCCTGTAAGTAAGACTGGCTTCTTGAAGTAATTTTCAATATATTCAGTATATGACCCTTCAGTTTCTCTACAAGTCTTGAAACCAATGGCATCAGACTCACAAAGTGAAGTGATCAACTGCTGCTTTATTGTTAAGCCACTGCCAACTTCCTTTTCACCATCGAAAAACTGAAGCTCACGGGCAACATGTTTATAGAGCTTGATAGATGAAGGAAAACCCGGAGGACCGCTCATGAGAGACTCGATAGATGGTCCTTCAGATAACAAGAAACCCATAGATGCAGGGCTTACAACGGAAAAGTGAATTGCTTTTACACCTAAACGGCGCGCCAAAAAGGGCACCCAGTACATCAAATCAAAGAAGATGAAATGGGGTTTGGTTTCTTGGAGTAAAGATTCAATGGTGGGTTCTGTGAGATCCATGGCGTGCCGGAGAAAAGGTTGCACGTGAATAGGAATTTCTGCGCTGGATTCAACTTGAGAAGGGAGGCCTTCAACATGTGGAAGGGGGAGGGGTATCAACTTGATGAGATCCGGATGAACATTGAATTTTTCCAAATTGGATAGCATTTTAGGAGGGACAACAAGGAAAACTTTATGGCCTCTGGCTGCAAGTTTGTTGGCTGTATGAAGATAAGGGGTAAGATGACCCATGGCAAACCATGGATACATGAAAATTGTAAGAGAGGTATCAGCCATTTTTTATCAGAAAATAAGCACTTCTGGAACCGAAAGGAGGATGCAAAACATGAAGCAGTGAGATAAGGATAAATTTGAGAAGTATCTTTATATTTGGTTTTTTCGACCGGCTCGTTAAGGCAAGAGGAGCGGTTGGTATAGAAATTTAATGTCTTGTCATTTCTTTGTCAGCAGGGCGGGGTAGCCTATCCAATTTGAGAAGTATCTTTATGTTCCGTTTGATCCCCATTAAATTCAATTACATTACATTCTATTTTTTTCTATTTTATCAACCACACAATCTTCCATAAAATACTGTTACACATAAATCGAAATTTTTTTTTTCTTTTTCAATTACTCATTTTTTTTAAAAATAATGTTCGTCCTATTTTCATTTTCAGGTAATGGGGGTGAAAAGTGACTATATTTGATTTTTTCGACCGGCTTGTTAAGGCAAGAGGAGTGGTTGGTATAGAAATTTAATGTCTCATCATTTCTTTGTCAGCAGGGCGGGGCAGGGGAGGCTACCCTGCCAGATAATTTTCCACGCCGTTATCCTTTTAAAGAGTGGCGTGGCGTGGCGTGACGTGGCGGGTAGGCTCGTTTAGTACACGTTTAATTTTATTTTTTTTTAATTCATTTTATTGTCTTTATTCATTAAAGTGTAATAATAATATAGTTATTAAATTTTTCAATTTATTTATTTATTTTTAAAATTTAAATTATTCAAATATATTTTATAACCTAAGATTTTTATTGTTTATCATATTTCTTAAATAATCTTAGTTGTTATCTTTTATTAAAATTAATGATTTTTTGTGAAATTTTTTATTTAAAGCTTGAATTCTTAATGTTAAAAAAAAATGTTAAATGGGGCGGGCCTCGATACCCGTACTCATCTCGTGACGAAATCCCTTGCCCCATCCATCCCTATTTCTTTGGGGAGGTAGACATAGCATGTGTATTATTGTGAACCGAGACATGATTGTGGACCGACTAAGCATGTGCATTATTGTGGACCACCAGTGTACCGTAGACAGAGCAGGTGCATTATTGTGGATCGGGGCACCAAACATGCCTTAAAAAAAAAAAAAAGGTTGAACCCCGATCTTGAGGGCCCCCACCGTCCTGCCTCTAAAGCTTTGTGAGGGAGGTAAATCGCGGGATATGTCCTAGCAGGCCAAGAAATAAGAGCTGCCTATACACTGCGTCTACAAAGAGTCCAAATCCATGTTTCAGGAATCGAACTCCCACACTGCGGCTGCCAACAAGGCGTGAGATAATATCACTCTTATACTTTACACCACTAAACTATGCCCCGGGAACAACATGCCTTTAAAGTTAACTAGCTAGGAAGACGTACATTGCACATTAGTTGATGAATATTAAATATAAGCATATGCTAAATGTTAAATATAAGCGTATGGTGATTGTTGAACGAATATATACGACAAATGTTTTGCTGTAATGAAAGAGTGACAATTTGAAAGAAGATGACCGTTAATTTGGAAGAAATGGTGCGGTATTGTTTAATTCTAAAGAATTAAAAGTTACCTGAAATTTTGATAATATACTTGAATATAAGTAAATAAGAAAGCAAATGGAATTAGATTCAGAAATAGCACGAGCAGATTAATAATGAAAATTCGGGGAATACATTTTCAGTACATAGGGATACAACTAAAATTTAAAAGTCATAGATACGTGTCAGACTTCCATCATTGTGGTCTTTTTTGTAGACCATAAATATCGGGAGTTCGTTATTCAGTAGTGCAAATACTCATGTGTCATCCATTTGTAATTCTTTTTCTAAGAAAATCTGCCCAACCTATAGTGTGACATTGTATTAAATCAGTTGGTTAAATTCAGGGAGAAAAATCCAATTAAAAACACATATAAAATCGCTCGGTTAAGAAGAGAACTGACTGCAATCCATATTGACTATGCCAATATTGATATACCCGAGGAGTTTATCCCCGAGGACTCAATACATACCCCCACCTCATTTCTCTTCTGTGGTCCTCGGGGTAACCCAAGTCCTCGAGGTATCGTAGTCGTCGAGATACCTCGAGGACACGTTTACCTTTCCTAAATGTCCTCGAGAATAGTCCTCGATACATACACCACCAACATGCCTCGTAAGACCTGGGTACCTAACTAACAAACCTAAATACCCAAGGATTTTACATCAACCCTTACACCACTTGTCAAACAATTCCATTACAAGTAGGATACTCTTTATAATAGAAATTCACTTGGATAAAAACATCCAACCAACACAATCCTACTAGGAGTACACCACCTACCTCTATAAATACAGAACCTTGGGCCATTATTCAGGTACGTTTGACATTGTTCTTCAGCACATAGCCTCACGCATATATTTCCCTTTCTGACTTA